GGGGGGGGGGGGCGTCGGGACGCTCGAGCTTCTAGAACGTGTGGACGCCGCATGCCATACCGCACCAGGTTAGACCGCGTCATGCGAAAGGGAGATAGCCGTGAAAACATCCCTTGAATACTTAAAGCATCCCCATTCGGCTTTCTACCCTCTGGCCTGGTGGCATCGACGTCGCGACGCCCGTTACCTCCCCTTCACCAATTCGCCCTGAGGGATGGGGGCTCGGTACGAGAAGATCCGTAGTCAAGCATACACTTTGGAATTCGTCGTACTCCCTCAGGAAGCACCCTTAAGGCGTATCTACGTGCCCACAACCCTTGCGCTCTCTCTCTCTCTCTTTTTCATCCCCTAAAAGTCGTAGGCCTCGTAAGCACCTGGAACCTTTAAAAATGCTTGGTAAAGAATATTCCTCCTTTTCCAAACCACGTGAGACAGCGAAAAATCTTTGATTCGAATTTTCCCCGGAAGGGGGTGGTTTTGGAGCACTCGACCCTGTGCGAACTTTAAGGGTTGAAATATCCCCCCTCTCAAGTAACTGTCGTTATTTCGTACCGGTGCACTCACTAAAATTGGATAGCACTCCTAAAACTTTTATGCGGCTTTTCACCCCTATCCCCTCTCGACTTTCTACCCCTGATAACTTAAACCCACTGTAGCTGCCGTCTGTTTGACTCTGCTCTAGCCTGGTCTTTTTATTTCATTTGTGTATATATGTATATATACATTGACAGCCATGACGATACTTCAATTTCATTTCGGGGCGGCTTCTGGAAAATTGGCAACCGCGACTGATACTGCGTATCTATTTCTATTATTCCTTTTCACCCCTTTACCCCCATGGAAGCCAAGAGTGCTTCCAGCCGAGTATAAAAATCGAAGCTTGGACCGTGAAACACGTCTCTCCAAATAACACATATTTTTTTCGCATCTTTATCAGATTCTATTTCACGTCCTGCCGACAGCTTCAGGTGCTCTGCATTCAATTACCTAATGAACACGTTCGTTATGCGACTCTGACGCCAGCTAAGAAATCTTTTCATATTCAATAGGGTGTCTTGGCTTAATACCTTTTTTCTTTTTTTTATCACTTATTCTTATTCCACTTGCATCTATGCGGCTGGACGGACGAAGGCACGCTGAGATTTCGGTTTATAAGTTTTCATTGTAACGGCCATAAACGTCGGGTGGGAATTAGTATATCTGTATCTGCATTTTGTAAGGTACATGCACTGCACTTTGGATGAGATAAATGCATACGTGGGTCTAACGATGCAGTTTAGTTATTCAACTCTGTTCTGCTCTCTCTCTCTCTCTCTCACTCTCAGACGTATATATATATATATATATATATATATATATATTGCATAAATACGTAGCGCAGGGATCTGCTGATCTCTCTCTCTCACTCTCAGACGATTTTGTAAGGTACATGCACTGCACTTTGGATGAGATAAATGCATACGTGGGTCTAACGATGCAGTTTAGTTATTCAACTCTGTTCTGCTCTCTCTCTCTCTCTCTCACTCTCAGACGTATATATATATATATATATATACATATATATATTGCATAAATACGTAGCGCAGGGATCTGCTGATTAGGATTCAGGATGGTAGACAAGGGATGCGTGGGATGCACCCAGAAGTATATCTCTCTCTCACACACTGCCAAGGCGGATGCTGGATGCAGCTATCACGCAAGGAAGCGTTTTATCAGATATTCCCAGGCATTCGTTCGCGCTTCGTTAACTGTGAATTGGGAAAAATGATAAAGATCGAAGAGCGAGAGAGAGAATAAAAAAAAGAAAGCAACAGATACAAGCAAGTCTGTTGCTAAGATGATGTAAAAATAGCGAGAGGGGGGATCAAAGACGATTAGGAGGGATGAAAGAATTCGGAGATGTGAGTAGGAAGGGGTGGGTAAGGAGGGGGGGATGACTGAGGAAGTTCCTGATGCTTCCATAAAATCGATACCTCCTTTCCCTATTTTCGCTTTTTTTTCTACCCCGGAATTCTTTACGTGATATTCAATTTTTTAATCAACCGCCCACCCCCTTCGTTGCATTTTTTCAATTATGGAAAAATTTTTTAGTCATCCCTTTAAATTCTTCTGTTTCCCTCAATCGGCACAAGAATTACGGTTTTTTTCCGATTTTTGAAAATTTTTGTTATGCGTCACGTGTGAAACTTTTCGAACGTACTGTGCACGTGGGCGCACACCAGGATGCACGTATCGAAAGGGATTCTGTGTAAGGGGAGATATGTAATAAATAAATATTTTACACTGACTGTACCAATGCCAATTTGAATGTTTTTTAGCACCTACATATATAGCGCGCGTACGGATGCAAGTCTTACACACGTGTCATTGATATTTTATTTATGCAACTGCATGCGCCTCTATTGATTTTTCGACGTTAACGGGGAGTTACGTTATTTGCTGCAATTCATACGTGCAACTGCGATCCATTCGCTTTTGATTGTACAATCACTTTTTTCAAAAATGTATTCACACGTATGGTACATTCGATGCGGGATGACAATACCATTTTTCTTTTTTATTGAAATTATTTTGGACTCCCTGAAATCCAGAGATGTATATGGAAAAATAATTTAGAGGGGTTGATGATTAAACAAATTTTTTTTTCAGATATCTCAACCCCACCCTGCAGCTACATCCGGTACAGTAGCACCGATGACGTCAAATCCCAGGAATTGGGATTTCGCCAGCTGGATTTTACACCTATGGTCGTTTCCAAAATACGGTGAGTTTTTAGTGGATTTTTTTTTATTTTTCGAAATTCCCATGTCCACTCGTTCGACGCTTACGGACGTTCGGCGTTCGTCGATATAAATAACGTACACACGGCGCACTCGGGTGCAACGACTTCTGGTGGATACACGAGTGGCGTCCGTGGGCGTGGGGGTTGCTGGCATTAAGGGATGAAAGGATTTCGAACGTATTTTTGGCCGTAACATCTGGAACTCTGAATCCCCTCTTCATCCCTTGCCGGGAGCCGCCCTTCGCCCTGTAAAAAGAAGTCCAAAACTTTTGGTAACTCCGCCGGGGCGAACAGTTGGGAATTGCTGGACCAGCTTTTTCCGCTGAAGATCGGTGGTGCAATTGCAATTTTCTTTTTTCTTCTTTTTTTTTCTTGAGCTCTCTTTTATCTTTTTATTTTTATGTTCCAACATCCACGTATCCACGGACGAGTAGGACTCGATAAGATATCAGAATTCGTCGGATGCTGGTATTAGAAATGAATCTTTATTAATAAAAAAGAAAAAAAGATAAAGAAAAAGAGTGAGGTTAAATAAGGGTAGCGTCGCGATGCCCACTTTTCTCCGTAAGCTCTGATAAAGTAACCAGACTTAACGTTCTGAAGGTAGAGAAAAAAAAAATATATATATATACACACTGATATTTCACTTTTCATAGAGTCCGAAAGATCCTAAGGGATGAAATAAACTGTATACGGCCCGAGCATATTTCTTAACTACCCCAACGTCCCCGTACAAATCATCAGGGCTGCGCACTCAACTTCCAAGGCTAAGGGATGTTGCGGGAGAGCAGCAATATTTTTTAGAATCAACCCCCTTATACCGACAGACCTCCCTTATACGGTTTCAACCCTTAGGTTATAGTGTCCGGCATCCGATCATCCCCTGGACAGTACCACCCCTTTTCCAAGCGGCAAGCTATGCCAGCTCACAATCAGTTTCAGCACGGTCAGTGCTGCCCCCGTCACGTTTCGATTTTATCGCGGCCAGTTGGGAGCCCTGATAATTTTACAGTGTCACCTGTTGCACCAGGGCGACAGTGGGTTTTCGTCGGTGAATTATTAAAATGCATCCGTCGAGTCGGGACGCCACGTCGCGGATCGATTTCACTAACGAGAATCGTTTTCCTCCGTTTAAAGTTGGCCAGACTGACGGTACTGTGGATGGCGGTAAAAATTTTGTTTTCCTTTTTTTTTTGCTAATTTGACTCCTGGCACCTTGAGGGGTTGAAAAAAATCTTTCTACTTGCCCTTGCTTCGTTGCGCTTCGGTCGGTAGCCTTTTTTCGTCCCGTGCTACGATTTTACCCCAATTTCCACCCGTTCGCCCCAGGCTTACCACCCTCACCTCCCCCTCTCCACCGACCCTCCCCAGGCTATGGAAAGATATACGAGTAGAGGGTGAAATCGATTTCCGAGCTGTGCGTCTGACGCTCATGTAATTTTTTTTCTCTCTCTCTTTCTGACTCTCATGCTCGTATTCACCCCCGTCCCACCTCTCCGCTTCACCCCTCCTCACCTTACGTCAGATGACAGCCAATTTTTATCTTGTGATTGCATTTGCAATTCCGATTCAGAGCGCGTGCGTCGCCAGACGGTTACGGCTTTTCTTCTCCTCTTTTTTTTCTCTTTTTTCCTCCTCTTTGCATGCTTCGTAAATTCCATCTTTGAGAATTTAACCGAGTCTCTGCTTTTTGAATCGAATCACAACGACAGAGTTATTCTTTATTCTCGGCCATTTTGAATACGTCATTGTACGACGACTGTCTCGAGTATATATTATCCGATGTTTCCGGCGCTATGTATTATTCAGGAAAAGAAAAGAAAGAAAAAAAAGAAAAGTATAAAACTGCAAAATCTCCGGGGACTTATTGTTTCCAAGTGGTATACATTAAGATGGCAAAGCTAGGTAAAACATAATTTCACTTCCTTAAGAAGCAATTAATTCCGTCCTCGGAGGGACGATAAAGGGGCGGACAGGACTTCACGGATGAGGGTAGAGAAAGATGACAAGGGAATGGCTAAGTAGTAGCAGGGGTACCTCGAAAGAGAAGTTGAAGACACCTGGCATTTAAATTAAGTGGGTTCCTTCGAAATTAGATCAGGGTTGAAATGCACCGGGTTCCTCTTTAGTTTCCAGAGTGGTATTCAACGAATTTGCCTTGGCCCACTGGCGTCTTGATAAGTGCTGCGAGTCTTTCACCCTCGGTTTCGTTCCCATCCCCAAAGCCACCCTCGTCCTTAACGGCCAAGGGGCCTGTGCTTTCCTTTTTAGAATCTTTAATTAACCACCCCTTTCCCGTCGTGTCATTTCCGCTAAAACAACCCTTAGTCCAGCCTACAAGAGCTTAGAAACAGTGACAATAGGAATTTCATTCATCCGAGTTATCGCGCGTCCGTCTCCGCCGTCTTTCCCCAGATGGCGCAGCGATAGTTTCGTTCTGGCACGCACTCCCGGTAGAGACTCAGTTTCAGTGGTTGCTTCATCAGACCGTACTGATTGGCGGTAAAGCGTGTTCAGAGGGTGGTAGGTGCCTCCCCAGTGTATAGAGGGTGCAGGAGAGTTCTAAACACTGGAGAATTGTTACCATAGCTGCTGTCGACAGTCGCTGGACTGAACGCATAGAAATCTGCCATGAACAGAATCTCAGCGTCTCGTTTGAAACATTTGACACTCGTTATTGTGTTGCAGACGTGTGGTCGCGCATGAATTCGAGGAGACGTATATGGGTATACGTATATCTCTAGGGGTAGAACAGTCGTGGGGGTTGCTTGGAGTATCGGGGTTGCCGCGTATCTGTTGTCGTTCGTCAACGAACCGCCCTATTCGTGTATCACGTTTGTCTGCTGTGCTCTAACGGAAATTTCAGGGGGGTTGCTTTCTCCTGTATTATGGGATTGGACCCTTATAGGGGTGACAGGGGGGTATCTTTCAGTTATCGATAGAATCTTTTCCTACTAACCCTCTGCCCCTCCCGCCACTTCCCCTGTAGCCCCTGGATCTTCGGTTCGGATAAACGAAAATTGTTTTTCGTTCCGGCTCGTTTCGTCGGATTTCATCCCTTAGCCAGAAAACTGTCTACCTCTGACCGCAACGTTACCTCAAAGATTTATAACGATACCAGCCCTTACAGGTACCACCTACTTCACCCTCAATCCATCCCTACCAAAACATCCCTCTCGTCACTCCACGTCCATTGGGAATTCCTCTTCGTTCTTTGAACTTTCGTTTACTGCCATCCCTTATATCGCTAAGGGGGTAGTCTCTTTTTTTAATTTTCTTTGGAAATCACCCTCAGTCGATAAGGATACAACCCTTTGGTATATACAGGAGTATCGCGGCATCCCTCTCAGATGAAAAGTAGAGCTTTTAATTGTTTCGCGTCCAACGCCTACCCTTGTATCTTCTATCAAAGGGTAGCTACTGCTCCCCGACACACCCCATGCAATACAACCCTCGTAATCAGAGAGCTAATTCTCACATCTCGGAGCTGCCTAATGAAATTTTCTCCAGCTCTCGCTAATTGGCTTTTGGGTAATAATTGAAAGGAATCCCAGAACTCCTGGGGGGGGGGGGGGGCTTTTTT